CGGGGCTACCGCTCCACTCGCCCTGGACCTTCTGGCTGGACAAGTGAGTAGGGGCCGGGGGCGGGGAGAAAAAAGGAAAGGGTGGGGGGGCACCCAAAAATCCATCGGTGGGAAGCATCTCCGCTCTTCACCATGTTCGTGGAACAGATCGGAGAACGGGAAATTAATGTCGGGAAAACGGCCGGTGCGAGGGACCCGCCTATGTCCCGACACGTCCCTTGTAGCGGGGAGCGGTCGCGTTTTCTGGGAGTTAGTTCATGACATCGCTTTGGGAAGCGCTTTCGGTTTTGTATTTCCACGGGCGCACACGGATTCGGGCACCGTCGGTGGCGTTTTAAATTCTAAATTTAGCCACGACGCGGTGCAGCCCCGGGAAAAGAAGGCGACAAGTTGGGACATTGCCGCTGCTGCTGCTGCGGGGGGGGAAGGGGGGTCCTACAGCGCGGGGCTGTCCCGACCGGACCGAGTCCCACCGCGACACGTCGAATTTTCTAGCTCTTTAATAGCCAGGTTTGACTCCTCTGCGTGATCGGCTCTTAAAATCCCAATTTTGAAGGATTAGCTAAAATTTGTTCGTTAACTGCAGCGTTCATCTCGTCGCGTTCCATTTCATGCGCTGGAAGTTTGAGGCTCTGGTGGTCGCGGGGAGGTGCTGCGAAGGGCGCTCACCCCCCGCTGCAGACAGCCAGGAACAGCGAACAGTACCAAAGCCAAAACTGAAACAGAAAGTTTGAAATCAGAGTCTGATACTGGTTTTCTAGTGTGTATTTTCTGACATCTTGTTTTTAATCTTCTGCACCTCCCTTTTCTCAATTTTCTGTTGTACTTCTCTCCCCTGACTCCAGAAGGAAAGTTCTTTCCTTTATAAGTCTTTCTGCCACTGAAACTGTTGACAGCACACAAATATTCTCAGGTCCTGCAAATCAAACCTTATAAATAAACCCACAAACTATTTCTGATTAATCCCTTTGAACTCAAGACGTGGTTAGGGTCGGGTTCAGGATCCGAGTTGTGATTTCTGTTTGTTTTTAAAAAGCACCATTTGGACTGCTCTTTAGGCAAGCTACCGTCCAGATCTGTTTGTTTACACAAACCATGTGAAGATAAACATGCCTGTCTTTTATAATCAACATCGGAAGTTAAAATCCATTTCAAGTTCCTGAGTTGCATCCTGATTTTTTTTTTTCTGTGTCTTAGTTCCACTGTAATTTAGACTCTTAAAATTCAGTTATTCTATTATTTTTTTTTTCCTTGTCCTTCTTTCTGATCCCATATAAGTGCATTCCATTAGGTAGCATTGTTGTTCCTTAACTTGCAAAACCGAGACCGTATGTATAAGGAAAAAAAAAAAAAAGTGGGACCTTATATACACAAAACTGTGTTTTGTTTACCAGCAACAGAGATAGAATAACAGCAGGGAACAAGAGTGACAGCAACCAAGGTGTGCTTCATACACTTAAAAGCCATTTAAGGCATTAGAAAGCACACAAGAGGTGCACCCACGAACTTAAGTTACTGCAGTGTGTGGAGGTTCATGCCTCTCTAGAGTCCCACAGAAGTGGCTGTGACATTTAGTCACCCAGATTTGATGGAGTGATCATTGCTTAGGCTTCTATAGGGTGGACTTTCCAGAGAAGATAACTGTGGGTACTTTTAAAACTCACTTTAGTAACACCTGGTGTGAAATAGTGATGTTTTCTCATGAGATGGTACTGATTTTTGACTACCGCTACATTTTACCCTGCACTTGGACTGAAAAGCAGAAAGAAGTGATGCTTAAGGAAAAACCAGATGTTGAGATGGATATGTAGTTATCTTTTTCGATTCAATTACTGTGAGAGAGGCCCATGACATACATTTTAACATCTCCAAAATGTATCTTTTCATTAAGTCACGCTGTTAAAATAAGTATCCATCAGCTAAGCTGTGCTTTCTCTAGCAGCTAGCAATAGGCTACCAAACGATTCCCCTGGGGTTCATGACCTTGCTTTTCTCGTAGTGGCACTCGATACATCTCCTGCTTTAGAAGAAAAATGCCTTTGTTTTATCTACATCAGCACTTGTTTCTGTGAATGCCTTGGCACAGGCTTAACATCTGGAGGCTGGGATCCCGTGACCAGGTTCTGGTCCATTGCCATTATCTCACACGTGTCATGGGGCATCTGCGTTTCCCGTTAGTGCTAAGCCTTTCTTGGTATGTGTGTCTAAAATAGTAACCATCTGATATCGCTCGCTCGTATCTTACCCAATATACGCTGTAGGAAAGTGAGCATGATGAAAGCATTTGGGAGAATATTATTTACCAGTTTGACAAATAAGATCCCATCTACGATCTTCAAACGCTTGCAGGTCAGCAGTTTCAGAGAAGCTGTCAGGTGTTTTTCTCTTAAGAGACACAAGATTTCCTTTTTAACTGATAAAATGTTTTAAGGTCATGTGCTAAAAGTTTTGAAACCAGGGCTTTAGGTCTGCTGTTTTATTTGTCCGTTCTGCAGGTTTCCAAGTTCATACCTACATGTCTCATTCACAGTACTTTTGGATGCAGTGATGTTATGGCACATGGGGAATTTCAGCAAGTCTTGCAGATGCCTTTGGTGCCACCTTGGGATGCTGATCTGTGCTGGTGGTTCTGCACACTCATGCTTATCTCAGTGAGGCTCTGGACTGGTGCCGGGTCCTGCTTATCATGACCTCTGGCTTGGAAATGAAAGGGTGCCTGTCTGGGTTTTGCTACACTGTGTAGTCTTTCGTTTATTTTTTTTACAACAAAGTGTCGATATCCATCATAGCAAATTAAAATTAGAGACTGCAAAACTGGTGGCTATATTCATGTTGTGTATTACTTTCAACACGGGGATTGCACAAAAGCAGAAGTTAAGCGAAGTGACCATCAAGGGATGGATGTCCTGGGTAACAAGCCACGTTAGGTGCTTCGAATCATCCCTTGGTGGGATTTGGGGTTGTGGGTCTGCGTGCGATCTTTGTGCAAATACACGTAGATGTGATACAAATATCCTACTTTGTAAACCTTGCCAATCGTGACTGTTGGTTACCCTGGGTATTGTACACCTTCTCACGTTTAATGCCACACCAAGTAAGCCTTTCTCTACCAAAAGCACAGAGAGAACGTCCTCGTAGTTGTGTGATCTTTCCAGCCTCCCCATGAGAAGGCTGAGGTTTTGCCAGTGGTAACAGTTTTCGGTCCAATGTGTGCGTGCACACGCAATAACGAAGATGTCGCACATCCTTGTGAAAAAACCTTTCTTGAACATCTAACTGCATCTTAGCTGCCGGCGTTGCGGACAGACCGCTTGCAGCCAACAGGGAGGAAAATACCAGCACTCTTCTTTCCCAATCAGTGCGATCAGAAATTGAGCACAGGTCACACAAAAACCTGGCACCGCAGACTCGTTTCCAGACAAACTTCGTCAAAGGTGCGCTCGCTCCCATGGCAGATCGCGTCGCAGCATCACGGCCTGCCTTGACTTCTCACTTGACTTCTAACAGTGCTTTTTGGGTAATTTTGTTTCTATTGCAAGAATAGTTGAACTCTTTCGTATCGTTGTGACGGGAAGAACACGCTTATAAACATTGTCAGATGTAATGCAATGTTATTAGTCTGTTCCAGGAAAGTGAAAATATTCTTGCATAAACATATTATCCTTCTGCGCTGATTTTTCTCTCTCGGTGTTATACTGATGAGTTCTATATAAATGAAGTTTGGTAGATAAATTCTGATAACGGAACAATTTTCATAATAATTGTGAATCTTCATAAATGAACACATCAGATGTCTGACACTGAGCTTAATAATCTCCCTTCTTCCCTATAGCAAAATCTTATTTATCTAGACTCATCTATTTCATCTATTAAAGCTCATGAGTAGGTGGCTTATAATGAGAAATGATGGTTAATATTATAAGAATGTTCAACCCTGTAAATGCATTTTGACAGGTTTTGATGGCTTGAAATCAGTCTTTGTATTCGGAATGGATTACCAGATTTATTTAGTTGCCACAGCATGTTTTCGAATTTATGCTTTGTAAGTCAATATTTCGCTTATTTATACCAAAAGCAGTTGTGACTAAGTACTTACAGGGGTATTTTCAAAAGTGCTTGGCAGCTTTTAAAGCTCCCGCTAAAGCCGCGATTAGATTCCCACTGGGAAACAAAGGCTGGTGTGAGCACACATGAAAAAACTTCTATTCCTTAATTCTTTGCAGGGAAACAGAAGAGCTACAGTTCAGCAGCAGACATTAACATAAGCACAACCACCTGGAGGTTTATTCATGGGTAAAACAATGGAATTTATCTTTGTATCCTTTGTTCTTTATTCGCGCTGGAATAATGAAGGAGTAGTGAAGCAAGTTGGCGTTAGGATTCAGTTCACGTAGGTTATTCCTGTTTCCACGTTCAACTTTTAACTGATGCCCATGCGGGTTACGGGGAGATGCTGCGCGGTGGGTCTGGCCTGAGCGGGCGACTCAATTATTCCTGATACTGCGCTAAAATTTCTCCCTTAAAGATTCTGAAGATGCAGAAAAGTGGCGTCACGGGGTGCAGAACAGGCAGAGCAGGACAGCTATTGAATGTTTTAGGAGCAGACTCTCTGTGGGGAACCCAACTGTGGGTTTGCAGGTGGTGTGGCAGACAGACCAACTCCTTCCATCCTCGGAAGAACTGTGGGTGCCCGGTTGGTGCTGGGACCCAGCTGGGAGGACCTGTCTCCTCCTGGAGGGATTTGCAGGGCCTGTTGGGTTACTTGGAAATGAATGGCTCACCATGGCAATAATTGGTGGCATATTGGATTAATATTATTGATGGTGGCAGTAAAATTATCCAAAAGGGAGGAATCCCGTAATAGCTTCATTTCAAGGGTCAGTATTTGTGCGGTTCCTGTGTTGCGGTAGCACATGTATCGAAGTTTTCAGCAAAGTACACAACCATCTTACTACCCGCTTATACTGTGTTTGTTCAAAGAGTTACAGAAATAGGAATTTCTACAGATCCCTTCATTGGGAAGTCATCTGCCATTTCTACATACTTAATCTAAACTTACCCTGTGTACTCGGTTAAAAAAAATAAAAATCATAATTTTGTGGGTTTCAAGGCACAAAACCCACTCCATTGTCATCTGTGGTGATCTGCTGAGTTTATGGGTGGCTATCGCGGAATCACTGTGGTTCAAATTTGTCAGCAAACTGTAATTTTGCAGGAAATTCTGAGATTTTTCATTCTGTCTGTGATTAAAATACTCTCTCTGCCTTCTACTCATCCATTAAAACAAATTTGTGCAGGTGTAATTTCTACAGCAAGTGATTCTGAACTTTAAATTGATGCATGTCATAATTTCCTTTTTTTTCTTTTCTTTTTTTTTTTAAATAAAAAAGTTTGGGGGTTCTTGCTTGTACCTATAAATCACTGACATTTTCCAGAGCTGGGCGAAAGGCTGAAATAATGTTGTGTAATCTTGTGGACATGCAGCACTTGCCAGGCAGGTTACTAGAAATAAACAGTCACACACCTTAACTTTTAAAACAGATAATTTGCTGGTTGGTTGGTGTTTTCTGCCAGCTGGTCACATAGTTTCTCCGGAAAATGTTATTTGCAACTGTCAAAATGAACGATTTTATAGCCTCAGAGTGGAATATTGTCTGTCTTTCTCAGCTGCTCTGTTAAATGGCACTGATTTTGCTGAATGGCTACCGTGATTATCTAGATAACCTTTGAAGGCTATCATTAGAGAATAGATTTTAATCTTTTATTTGAGTAGACCTCACTATCGCAGCATCTCAGTGGCGGTACCAATGTGAGCACAGGGAGTGATGATACTGTACGCTGCAGAACAAAGGTAACCCCGTAAGCCTCGGTGCCTGCTAAGTTAGCAAACTGGCAGAAGTCGTGCCCAAGAGAAGTAATTTCTTGGGCAGTGCTCTGAGACACCGCCAGGCGAGGCTATCTCAGGTTTTGCTTGTTTGTCTTCTATAGTATATGAAACGAAGCTTAGTAGAGAGGAGCTACGTCTGTCAGCAACAAGCTCAGAACAAGGGATAGTTTGCAAATCCACTCCTCCTTACTGACAAACGCAGTTAAATCACCTGCTGAATTTTTTGTCTGTTTTAACTTACTCCTTTTTTTTTTTTCTGCTTTCAAAGGCCATCTGACTGACTCTGCTTCTGTCAAATACTGTGAATTTCTCTTTTTGTTCTTTAATGCTGAGTGTAGAGTGTCAAAAAAAAGAAAAAAAGGCCCGTCCTATGATAATTTCTTCCAAACACGTTGATGAAAGTTTTGGCTGTTGTTTTCAAGTTACCAGTTTCCCCAAGGGTGTTTTTATAGTTCATGAGCCACAGGACTAGAACCTGCACCATAGAGACTTCTTGGGTTTTGTTTGTTTTTATATCCGCCAGTTAAAGTGATTTTTGAAATTTTGGCATGTAACACAGTTTTCTCATCAGTTCCACCATTGCAATGTACTCTTACATCTAGTGATTAACAGGCAAATAATAAAGTAGATGTTAGTTTGTTCTATGCTGAAAAAGTTGAGGGATTTCTCTGGTGGTTTTGTATGTATTTTTAAAGTAACTTACTTGGATAGGAGCCTTCAAAAAAACTTTGGAGCTATTGTTGAAGTTTGGAAGATGTGATGCAGTTTCAGTAGTTTTGCATCTTACATTTCTTCCTTTACACAAATATCTAGTTTTTGCTCCAGAGCCTGAATTATACCTGTAATAACTGAGAGCTCCTTTAGTGTTTTCCTGGACATATTTCACACTGATCAGATGTGTCAGGGCAAACAGCCACACTGACGGGAGGGTTGCTGAGATCTGGTTTGCCCTTATCCTTTCTTCAGCAGGTACCTGAGCAACAACTGTGGGGGTTTTTTCCTCTGTTTCCAAATCTGCTCTGTTGCTTCTGTTTCCAGATTTAGTCATTTTACACATTTTTGTTGCCTCTTCTGAGAGGCGACGGGAGGTTGCTTTGCCTTTGATCTTCATTTTGATTCAGAAATCCTACTTCAGCTTCTGAACGGGAAAAAAATGTTTCCAGTTCTAACAAACTGAATGCGCCTTAGCAATTTTGACCTCATTCTCCCCAAATTGCACCTGTGGGGGCGTGTGCTGGGAATTGTAAGACGGGTGTTACGCTGCGCAATTAGTGCGGTGACAGGAGCCGGTGATGTCTGGGGATGGGGGTGCGCTGTTCCCCGTGTTGCACACATCAAAGAGTTGTGATGAAGGTTATAAATGGAATAATGGAATCATTTAGGTTGGAAAAGACCTTTAAGATGATGGGGTGCCTAAAGGGAGCAACTCCGGATGGGAGTTGGGAATAGTGTGAGCTGGAGAAGATAACCAGTGCCTGGTGAACATCAGCGTAACCCTGAGGTCTGGTGATGAAACCAACCCAAGGACCTCCTGGCTTGATGGGAAGTGCCGGTAGTAGACAGGGCTCGAAGAAACAAATGCTGGTGGGTGGAAGAGCTGCCCGAAGTGGCCGCAGTTCCCAGCATGGGTTGGGTTGTACGGCTCTTTGCCCCGAGCTGTGTGCCTCTGCCACCTGGTGGCTTCTGCTCCGGGCGGCGGCGGCTGCTGGGGAAGAATTAGAATTCATTCGATAAACTCTGTGGATGACTTTTTTTTTTTTTTTTTTTTTTTTTTTTTTTCAAAAAAGTGTGAAACGCTGACAGTACGTTATGACGCTCAGAGGGGGTTTGGGGTTGTATTAAATGCAATTAAAGAGAAGTGCGGGGTCGGAGCTTGCTGATAGCCCTCGGCATGGGAACTGCGGGACGTGGTGCGGTGCCTGACACAGAGAGGGTGTGGGGTGGCCGTGAGAAGGAACACTGTTATTCTTGGTTTAAAACTCCTAATTCACCTGTTTAATCAAAATATTTTACCAAGTACCCGGTGAATATTAATTTATTCAAAAGTATAAAAGCACTTGAATCTTTAAATTGTTCGTAATTGGAATGTGAGTTTATTATGCAACTGCGACATGAATATTTCAACTGCACACTCATGTGATTCACTTTCCCCATCCATCTCCCTTCTATCCCCTTGACAAAATCAATATTTTTATTAACCTCTACTTTCTTTTCAAGGTCACTTCCTGGGACGACAGCGGCTGAATGTGCCTCAAATTTGAAGAAGATTTATACAGTACAAACAGTACAGGTGAGGTGTGGAGCGTTGCTATAGGAGTTACCGCATGTTATTAATGTAACTTCACACCTAAAGTTTCACATTTCCTCATGCGATGAGTCACACTTGTGGCTTTGCTTACCTGTGGTATGAGTGTTATTGGTTGTGTGTGGTATTGCTCAGTCATTGTTTGAATTTCATTTGGCTTTCCAGGCTAGGAAAAGAGGAAGCAAGCCCACTCTTCTTAAACTATCCCGGGTTTCCACTTGTGCCTCTGTTGGATTGTTACATTTGATGTACTTTAAATATTTTTCCTGCCTTTTCTCCTTTTTTTTTTTTTTAATACAGAAAATCATTACAGAAAGACCAAAAATTACAGCTTATGGGTTTATTTTTTTCTTCTTTCTCTCCTTGAGCATTAATTTAAAAAAAAAAAAAAATTCTAGCAAAATTACTTGAATTAAAGTACTTTTAAATCATGCAATACTTGCAGCAATGAGAAATTCTGCATGTCTCTGGCATCTGCCAGTGCCGAGCAGTGGGCATCTCTTGCAAGTAAAACTGCATTTCTGTTTTAATACCAGTTAGCATGAAGTGTAGCGAGTTGGCATTTGTCTCACCCAAATGCGAAGCTGACTCTAGTTCATTAAATCTCTGAAATTCTAAGGCGACGCCAAAACCTTCTTGAAGCAGCCCAGCCATAGGGATCTACTGAAGTTTTAAATAGGGTTTCTTGTTAACGTCTGCACAGCTTGTTACATTGTATGAGATGTTTCTTCCCAGCTAATTGGCCTAAGAAATGAATTGGCTTTTGGAGTTTTCTGGAGATGAGGTTATCAGTGGAAATTCTTTGGCATAAAGCACAGAAATGTCCTTCAGACCCTTGGGAGAGGTTCCCTCTCACCTCTCTGTGTCAGCAGAACTTCCCCATCGGTTACACGATGAAGTGACACTCTGAAGGTAAAGTTGACAACAGGAGTGGGTTTGTTTCAAAAATAGTTCCCGCTGAAAAAGGGACAGCTTAAGACCACAGACTGGTGTACAGTATCTGGAATGATCCGTTTTCCCACTCTGATTCTGAATTCATTATTTAAATTATTAGGTTTTATTGGCTGAAACACTTGAGGTTTTTCATCAGGTTAGGGTTTAAAATACAAAAACCTCCTTCAGGTCCTCGGAGAAGACTCATGATCTGGATGAGGTTATCAGAAGCTAGCAGCATCGCCCATGGTGTGTCCAACTGTGCTGTCATATGCATAGTATGACCTTCCTCGGGGAAGCAAACGCAAAATCTTCATTGATTTCATCGCTTTCCTTCCTGGGCAGTGGCTAGTCAGTGAGGAATGCCAGCCTGCACTGCCTGAAGGATGTTTGAAAACCAAAACCTTCCAAACGAAGTTCCTGGGTCAGGACATGAGAGCGCCCAAATCTTTCCACAGTCATCTGCTGGTGTAGCTCTGCTCCTTCTACTTCTGTCAGCAGGTTTAGGGTTTGGACACCCAACCAGGGAAGAGTAGGATGAAAGTTGAAACAGGTGTTTCATACCAGTTTTTTATATATTTAATAGTTTTCCATCTCTTCTTGTGACTGGGTAATGGTAATGGCTGGGAGGTAGAATTGCCAAGGGCCACAAAAGTTTATCACATAATGTTGCAATCTTTGTTTCTTAAGTTGTGCTAATGACTAAGTAGTAGATAATACTTAATGAGTTGAACTAATGCTTAATATTGCATCACTAGATGTTGATGCAACGTAAGCCTTTAAAAAAATCCTTTCTTATTCCTAACTATTGGATAAAGAAGAAAGGGGATTGGGATCTTTTCAGTCATACCTCCGTGTTGCTCACCGCGGCTTTTGGGTGCCTTTTATCCACCCCAAACATCTATGACAGCTTCTGCTTTTACCAGCAGAAATGCTGGGAAGTAATCAGATGGTTCGTGGTAACTCGGATCTTCTCATTTCTCCCCCATTCCTGTATTAATATGTGCATCTCAAGTTCTTTGCGTCTGGGTGTAACATTTCACTGGGATCTAGACAAAGTAGCCGGCTTGCTAGTTAGGTGTTTAGTTCAACAGAATTGTTGTTTGTGGTGTTTTTGTAACTCAAGATAATCAGAATGAAGTTTTAGACTAAAGTGAAGCAAGGTGAATATTTGATATAAGTATATATTTTTAATATGCTAAGAAAGTTTTATGCACTGGTTTGTTTTGACATACTTAGTGTAACTCCGATTTTGATGATTTTTTTTTTCTCTCTATTCCCAAGGACTTTGTTTCTAGTGTAATCCACAGTTGAGCTGTTTCCCTTCTTTCTACCTCCAACTTACACAGAAATGACATCTAAAAAAAAAAAGAAGTGAAATTGCCACAAGTTCTTTTCAGAGCATTTTATTATAATGCAGAAGGCACCGGTTCTCCAGGAGCAGGATATGTAACCACTTAGGAGAAAATGAATGAGGAAGTAAATCTATATTAAACTTACTCTCTTCTGTTAATGCAACTAGTATTTTTTTTCTTTTTAAGGATTTCTGGAGTGTCTACAACAACATTCCTCCTGTGACAAATTTGCCTCTGAGATGTAGTTACCATTTAATGCGGGGAGAAAGACGGCCGCTTTGGTACGTATGTTATCATCAGATGTTTCTGGGAATGGCCAGTGAAAAATCCTGAAGTGGTGACAGGAGGCAGGCGTGGGACAGGAGCATCTTGTTTCTGTTGCCTGCAAATACCTGAACACAAGAGTCCTATGAAAGAAATACCCTAAGGATCTTCTTAAGCTTAAAAGTGTCTTCTACTAAAGAGCCTTTATTAAAAACACGGATTGTAATTTAATTGTCCACCTCTGAACATAAATGTAAGAAAGAAATTAAATTATGAAATAGAAGTTAAGAAAGAAAATATTATTCTGAATTTCAATTCAAGAATACACAGAATATGTTACTTGCATTTGAATTATTATCTTGCAATTTTTTTTCTTTCCACTGAAGTAATAATGATGCAAATGACTGATGGTCCTTAACTGAGCGAAAGTATGCTTCATACGCATATATATACCTTGGATTAAAACTAACTTAAGGCATTATGAAGTGATTCATTGCAGCAAACTCCTACTTGATTGTAGGACAGTAATGGAATAAAGTATAAATCGTGGAGGTTTTCCTTTCAGAAATTGAGTTTTGCATACCTTCTTCCTGGTGCCGTTCAGGCATATGCCAGTTAGAGAGCCTGAGCGCTTCCTGGACAGTTCTGAGCTTTTTGGCATCGTTTGCATAGACTGTGATTGGATTAGCGTTCTTTAATGTGATTGTAGTATGTCTAACTGGGTGGTGGTTTACCACAGGAGATTTCTGTCCTAATCTACTCAACAAGTAAATAATTTTCTCCCGTAAAATGCATCTGAAGGTCTACATTACTTTTCTAAAAGTACTGTGACTGGTCAGGTTAGCTAAACTGGGCTTGAAAAAATGTTGGTGTCTGTATAAATCAACTGGGCCATTGTGTGCCGGTCTCGATATCTTTGTAAGGATCAGTGAGAACATTTGGGGGTTTGTTTTTTTTTTTTATTTTTTTTCTATTTTTAGTTCAGATTTGGTAAGCGACTATTAGAGGTGTGAAACACAAAGACCTCTTCTAAAAATGATACATCTCATTTAAGACTGTCAAAGAAATTTTGTATTTTAGGAAAGGGATTGCAAAAGATTGATCTCATCCGTAACCCACAAACTTTTCAGTAATTACTGCCAAGAAGCTGTTCTCAGATTACAGTTACAGTACACTGTCTAATTGCAGCATTGTTTTTTAGGAAAAAAAACAAATTCTGAAGTAAGAATTGAGGTCTGCAGAGTTTTGAAGATGTCCTCCCAAAGTTTCCCCAGTGTTTGTCTGGATTGGTGGGAGACTGTTGGTCCTGGGGAATCTCTAGAGGTCTCATACTGGGCTTAGACGTTCCGAAGATGAATTTTAGGTTATTCCTTAAACTTTTTCTATTGCAGAGTTTTAACAGGAAACTAGAGCCCTAATTTAAAATCTTATAAAAATAATTGTGACAGAATAAACTTGAAGCTCACAGGTTTGTACGTTGTGCCTTTGTCGTTATGAGGCAGTTTAATGGTTATGTCTGTGCCCTGACCCTGGGCAGCTTCAGCCTTTCTTTTAATAAGGGCAATTAATTTCTAGCTGTCACAAAACTGAAATGAAGTGTTCTCATGTTCTTTTATTAAACTGGATAAAGTTGAGAGTAATGAGCTGCTTCTGTGAAAATATGCCAGAGTTCTTTTAAAAATGAAAGGTTACCACGGTAAAACTGCACTGTGGCTTGTTCCCATGTAGTGTGCAGCCACTTCTAAGATGGTCTGTAGTCAGGAATAATGTAAGTATTTTCCAACACACAAAACTTAGGAAAGGGATTAGGTGTTGAGAGAGAAACTTCATATGAACAATGAAAGAATTCTCTCTGATGTCAGAAGTCATAGCCCGAGTCAAGTACCTGGAGTTAGTAATTGCAGTTCAAATGGGATTTTTCTGGGAAAATTGAACCCCAAGCATAGATTTATCTAGATATGGATATGAATGTTTATTTTACTGATCTATTTTCCATAACCAGGGAAGAGGAAAGCAATGCCAAAGGAGGAATATGGAAAATGAAGGTCCCTAAAGAAAGTACGGTATGTAATATTGACCTTTTACTTAGATATTGTTTAGTAAGGGGGGTGTGTGTGTGTCTTTAAACTCCATCTGATAAAGCTGTTGTAAAGCTTTTTAGTGCTGACATCATCCAACGCAACAAGCAAACACTATTTTAATGTCCATAACTTTTTCTTTTTGGGTAATTCCATACCTCTTGCTTTCAATAACACTCGCCGATGTATTATGAAGCAAATGAGAGCTGCAGTGTTATACTCCATTTCCATTTGGAAACACAGTATTTTATAATCACCTTTGTTCACTAGACTGTTTGCTTACAGGCATGCAGAAAAAAAAAAAAATCTTTTCCCGATAGTATTATATGCTAAATTACAGCCAGAACCACAGTAACGTTCTTCAAAAGCCCCCACACAATCCAGCACAACTTTCAGAGTTTCACTGAAGTGCCAAATATTCCAAAACTCTCTGTCGGACTCAGTAGGACTGTTTCTGCTTGGCATTACGTGTCTGCACCTATGTGTGGCTGTGAGCAGCGCTGTGACTTTCTGTAGCCAAACACGGACCAAGGCATTGTTTCCACCGATAGCTAATCCCGTCTCATGGCTTGCCCTGGAAAGGGGAAGATCTTGCTCATTCTATCCCGATCTCTCTTGCACTGGCGCTCATTGGACTGTTTTGTGAGCCGCTTAATGCATGCTGATGTCCGAAAAGATCTCCTATTTATTTTATTTTTAATTTGAGTGTGTGGCCAGGAGAGTTTTTTGATGGGTGTGGGGCATAAAGGAGAAAAGACAAGTAGGATCACCCCCTTTGGCAACAGTGAGTTGTCACATCACCTTGTGTACATCTTGTCAAACTGTAGTGCTGCTCAGTTTTTTCACTCTTTTTCTTTTTTAAATTCTAAAATACGAAAGATAAAATCCGTTCAGGCATGTCGTCGCTCTAGCCCTGCTGAAACAACTGCCTTTCTCTTTGCGCCCCTAATCAAATGCCTGCAAGGAGCATGCATCTCCTGCGAACTGTCACGGTGAGGAGATTTGACCGCTTCACGTGGTGTTTATGTGTGTGAGTTTGTTCTGGATCGGGCCTCTAAACACGAATAGTGAAGTGTCAGAAAAATGTGACAGCCTTGCAGAAGGCATTAAATGCTGAAAGATGGTACTTGAAATTTCAGCCAGAAGTTAATTGATTTTTGCCTGTGGGCTTTTTCCCCGTATGTGACTTGCAGCTTTCTTCCCCGCTGTCCTGTGGGATCACAAAAGACTGAAATTCTCTTTTTCACCACATAATCCAAAGTGTGAAGGTTGCCAGAAGTGACAAGTGGTTTGGGGAGCCTGCATTACTGGGTGGTGAATTTAGGGACCTCAGAGGCTGAATGATAGCCCCTCTCTGAAATGAAGGTACTTTTTGATCTGTCAAACTATGTACCAAATGTTCCCAGGTCACTTCTGAAAAGTTTAATTGAAGGTGAACTTCAGTCAGCTTTTAGTGCCTCTGTAAATGGCATAAATAATAGCTTTATGCCTGTTTCTCGTTTTTTGGCTTCATTCTTTGTCACACGTGCACACAGCATCTCCTTGGCTGAGATGAACCATCTTGTACAGACCCAACTCAAAAAGGTGATACGCTATAGCAGCTCTCGGTGAGGGTGCGGAGGGAAGAAAATGCTGATTTTTCTAAAGATATCAGTCTTTCAAGTGGTGTGAAAAGCTGACTGACAAAATACTCACACTTCAGTGTTGTTGCATGTGTACAGTGACACTTCTGTATGCCGATTTTTAATATGAAAACTAATACTTTTTAGATCCTCATAAGCCTGATCCTGCAACTGCTTACTACTGGATGAAGTGCTTCCTACCCTTGAGACCATTAGGACAACTCACAGTAGTGAGCACTGCGCCGGGTAATGAGAGCGTGCGTGGTCAGTCCCGTCACCAATATAGGAGCTGTTCCACGGGCAGGCGAAAGGCACCACGTCAGAGGCTGTCACGCTGACGTCTTCAACCTGCCTCGGGAGCACCAGATGGTCCTTCCACAGCACAGCTTTACATGATGCATTGGATTAGATGATAATGAGTGACGGAAATCTTTTGTATTCTAGAAGGTGCCTTAGGAACACTCAGAAACTGCCATTGAAGCAGTTCATTAGTTTGTCATCTTCATGGCTGCTTGCTTTTTGTTTTAACCTGCTGCATTTGATATGTTGGGGGTTTTAATAGTACTAAAACTCAAGCTAACCTCACATAGCAGAAAAGACATTCCTTAAAAGTATCATAGAATGGTTTGGGTTGGAAGGGACCTGTAAAGGCCATCTAGTCCAACCCTGCGGCAACGAGCAGGGACACCTTCCACTAGGTCAGGCTGCTCAGAGCCCCGTCCAACCTGACCTGGAATGTTTCCAGGGATGGGGCATCCACCACCTCTCTGGGCAACCTGGGTTGGTGTGTCACCACCCTCAGCGTAACAAATTTCTTCCTTATGTCTAGTCTAAATCTTCCCTCTTTTAGCTTAAAACCATTACCCCTTGTCCTTTCAAGTAGTATATGAAAAAGTCATTATGGCGATACAGACAAATGTTCATGTTGATGTGTTCTTTCAATAAATAAATAAAATATTCTGTCCCTGTAAACCCACACCTTGGAGCACCATGTTGGTCCAGATGCATTCGAAGTTTTGTATGGGCTTTGGCTTGGGTGATAACTAGTGCCGAAAGCAACCAACAGCGTGATTAGTCTAACAGCCAAAAAAAAGTGGCAGATAGCTTTTCCCTCTGTTTTAATTGTGTAGTGAGCCTTTGAATTTGTTGGAAGATGGACTTATTTCATGGTCAAGGTAAATTAGAAATGACCACAGAATGGTTTAGGTTGGAAGGGACCTTGAAGACCATCCAGTTCCAACTGCCCTGCCCTGGGCAGGGCCACCTCCCCCCAGCCCAGGTTGCTCCAAGCCCCGTCCAACCTGGCCTTGAACACCTCCAGGGATGGGGCAGCCACAGCTTCTCGGGGCAACCTGCCCCAGGGGCTCACCACCCTCAGAGTAAAGAATTTCTTCCCACCATCTAATCTAAACCTACCCTCTTTCAGCTTAAAACTGTTACCCCTTGTTCTGTCGCTACACTCCCTGATAAAGATGATGTTTAAATATAAATCAATTTAATTTGCTGGTAGGGGTTTCAGGCACTTTTCTTAAAATGGTTGGTAATTCTTTCCTGTAGAAACAAATGATCACAAGTGGAGCCTTACAGTCTTTTATCATGGGAAATACTTGGGAGAAATCTACTTTCGTGCTTTACATTAACTAGTGCATTTGAAATGAGTCATGGACACAGATATAGCAAAGGTAAACTTATTGTTAAATATTTAAAATATTTGTTAGAGCAATTCTGTGTAGTAGTATGTATTTGCAGGTTCTAAACTGTTGCTCGAATTTTATTGAAGAAATTAATTATATAACACAGTGTGAACTTACAGTAAATGTTCTTTTTTGTCTAGACAATCTCAGAAAGTGAATGCCCTCAAAACTGAGCTAGGAAACCTAACTTTTAAATTAAAAAATAATAATGCAAATGTAACTTCTTTTTTTTTTCCCCTCGCCTTAGGCTGCAGTTTGGAAAGAGCTACTGTTAGCAACTATCGGAGAGCAGTTTACAGACTGTTGCGCAGCAGGTAACTGTTAAAAATGATTGAGGTTAGCAAGACAAACATCGAGTTTGAATGCAGAACGTGGAAGTGCTGCTAAAAATGGGGTACAGGGCTGAAATCATATTCATCCCCGTTGTCATTAAGAGGAGGACAAGGTATTCTGACTGTCCTAGTGGAAGACTCAAGCTCTGCAGTTTGCATCCCTGGGAAGCCAGCAGGTTTTCTAGTTATGGGATGTCTATCTGTCAGCCACATTTAAATGATTAATAGTAATTCTACAATGCCAGGGTTCTGGAACCCCAAATTACGGTTCCGTACTGGATTGATTGTACCATCACTGTTGGAAGCAACTAAATTAGGTGGATGCCCCTATTAGCCCTCATGGTCTCTTTCGGTTCTCCTAGCGGGGTTAGGAGCTCTCAGGGGGAGCACAACTGCAGACCTGGAGCAGAGGGAAGCCGCGGGGTTTGCCTGTGGTGACATTAAAAGCCCATAGCAGGGCCACAACACCGACCCGGCTCTCCTGGATCCCACGCTAGCACTCTACCCAGGAGCGGTATTTTCATTATTGCTTAAAAATACTGCTTATGTAAAGGTAATCTTTAATGTAATTGAATTTACATAAATATCCTTAACATACTTTGCTGGTTTACTGGAAAATGGGCATTAATCATCCAGAAGCTCACATGTGATTTTGGTCAGAGGTAATAATTTAACGAAGTCGCTTTCAGGATAAATATCTTCTCTAGGCTTGCAAGCTTGCATGTTTCATCTGGAAATGGACTCCGGGAAGGGAGTGTGAACGCTACCTGGCTTTAGACAGACCATCAAATGCGGCTTCTTAGTCATGAAAAGCATGTACGAGTCTGGCTATTTAATCCCTCAAGGTCTGGTTACAGAACTGTTTCTTGCTTCTGGGTGAAGCGAATGATGAACCTGCTGATCCGCTGGCCTAGAGGGAAGGAGTTCTGGGAACTGGTTACTAGTCTTACCTTTTCAGTTTAACATGACATTTCTCCATCACTTCTTTTGACCATATTTACTTCTCTCCTAAGCATGAATACCTGGTTAAACTGGCTGTCGCGGTGACGGTATATACCCCCTTAGGAATGTTCCTTCACTGCTTTATCCTTCCAGAGAAAAGAATTGAGGTTTTTGGGGTTCTCAGAGCAGTTCAGCAAAAACCTTTCAGACAGTTTCTGTTACACCTAGAGCAGACATATCGCAGGAGGCTGCTGCTGGTCTGTTTGCAATGGTGGCTTTGGTTTTGCAACAAAAGTTTTGTTGAATGAGTTTCTCAACGAGACTATTTCTCTCACTGTCTTCCCAGCTTTCAGAATTGGAAGATACGGAACACAAGCCTCAAATCCTTCAGCTGAGAGACACATTTCTAATAGTTGCTTTTCAAAATCCTTAATATGTAATCCGTAATTGAGTTGGTGTCAAGAGGGAAGTGTTCCTGCCCTTTATACCGATAGCGTGGTCTTGGGGTCAGTTTAAGCACATACATGACATTCTGTTGTCTACAGAGGTAGTTTTTCCCCTCGGCCGTATGCTGTTGACACCACCTTTGCATTATTGTCACTGACCCCTTCCTTAGGCTGCACGGTGCTGCAGTGCCGGGGAGGTCACTGCTGGGGGCAGCCACCGCTCCCAGCTGTGGCACAGCCTTACACTGAGCTCTCCATTCTGAGACTTTCACACCAAAAAAGGCTTCTTCAGCAAAGCACGGAGTTACCAAAACTGGCAACAGCAGCAGCCTGACTGGGGCTTTCTTCTTCTCTTTCCTCTTCTCTTTCCTCTTCTCTTTCCTCTTCTCTTTCCTCTTCTCTTTCCTCTTCTCTTTCCTCTTCTCTTTCCTCTTCTCTTTCCCCCTCTCCTTCTTTGTTTTTTCCTGTTGCTCCCTTAACAAAATGAAAGAGAGAGCAAAGTCTGGAAAAGCTGGTGTCTGATCTCCTCCAGGTGCTATTCCTGGGGTTTTTTAGTTGTTTCACCATCACCCACCCATTTTTGCTTATAGACATTAATGTAAGTAAATTCCCTTTAGTAGTTCGTATTGCTGACCTTACTGAAGGGAATCTTGTGATTCTCTTTTAATCAAGGACAAGACTGCTAATAGCAAAGATGAATAATCTTATGGCACTTTATTAAAACCACTATGAGGTAATATTTCCAATAGTTCCTATAAATACAGTGTTTGTTTCTTTCTGGTAACTATTTTGTCTGGTTTGAACATTGGTATTCTCCTCACTGGAGATTGCTTTTTTTCATTTCTTCAGTTTGTTCAGCTTTTGGGCACTGTTTCAAAATACAGAAGTATCAAATTAGACATGTCTCACTTTTAAAGTATTCCTTAATGATCCTTCCTCTTCCGTGCAGATGATGAAGTAATAGGGGTTAGCGTCAGCGTTCGTGACCGTGAAGATGTTGTGCAAGTCTGGAACGGGAATGCCTCTTTAGCAAGTGAAGCTAAAGTTTTAGAAAAAATACATAAACTTCTGCCACACACATCTTTTAAAGCAGTGTTTTATAAACGTAAGTATTTTGTACTGTTAATTTCCACCTTTGTTAGAAAAGGAAGATGCTGGCAGGGTATTTCTATGGGAATATCCTGCTTTGATTCATCATTAACCATTTGGAAATGTAGCATCTCTCATTGCATTCAAATTATTACTTCCAAAGTATAGATGTTTTTTCCCTTCAACATAAAAGTTAGCAACCATTTAAAGTAGAAGATATTTTTAGTTTAATTGTAGAATATATTTGGTCTCATGTTTCAGATGCCTGATTCATAAAACGAGTGAGATAAATCTCTTGAAACTCTCAAGACTACATGCTGTTCAAATTAAGTATGCATTTAGAGGAACCATTTACAATCAGGATTTTAAGGGATCTCTTATTTTAGGCTCCATACAAATGTATTATCAGCATAGCGTATTCCCGAAGATCACTTGTTGGCTCGTTGTGTCTTCCTTGACTGCTCATACATTGCCTTCTCTTTTCATCTTTTCAGCTCCTCAACAAAGTTTACGTGTTCTTTTATTCTTTGTTTTTTTCCTTCTCTCTTCCTTAGCACACAGAGAGCATCATGCTTTTGAAGGCCGACGGGGAAAACACTAAGTGGCAAGCCTATTTGTTGTTATTTGGTGTTTTGAGGTGGTCTGGACAAGGAGAAGGATGGTGGAAGCCCTGCAGTAGCACTACACACAGTGGCCCTTTTGAGTTTCTGACATTTCGAACTGGGAAAATGAGGAAAAACAGTTGCCTTGACTGCTAAATGCACAATTAATTACCTCTTGTTTGGTTGGGGTTTTTTTAATTCTTCATTGATTTTTTTTAAAAAGATATTTTGGCCACTTGTTTTTCTTTTTCAATAGGATTACATTTGTTCCTATTTCATTAAGGTAACAGGCTTGCATTTCTTCCGTACTGTACTTAGTTAAATGCAAACGTGCACAAAGATGATATGCTGCTTCTCCTAGATGTGCTGTACGTAAGGGAGTACTGGCTTGGTCAAATGTGTTTTCAATTTTCATATTGAAACATTCCTATCGTGTTAAGATTTACTCACTGGTTTTGTCCCAAGAGAGAAAGAAATTGCACTGCATTTATTCTAATATTCAGTGTAATCTGGTCTTGCACTGACAACAGCACACATACTGTAAAAGTAAATAGTAAAGCACTCACTAAACGAGTGATTAAAGAGGACACATTTATATGGGGACTAACCCTGTGTGGGATGATGTTAACGAGTGTTTTAATTGCAGTGATTTCAGAAGAGCCGCTGTTCAGACTGGAGTGAGAGATCTGTCAGTAGGAAACCCTGCAAACTCCACACCTCTCTTATTTAAGAGGGGATGGGGTTTTTTAATGTTTTTATATTGTATGCTTTCTTAGGGTATTTTTCTGTACATTCATGATAAAGTCTCATGAATCCTTTCTAATGCATTGGACTAACTGGATCCATCCCTCACGCTTCTGTGAGTGCTTTAGGCCCGTGCCTGCATCCATAAAGGTCAGCATCAGAACTGCTGTTGGCTTCGGTGCAAAGGAAGAGATCCCATCATATGTAGCTTCAAGGCATCATGACTTCCTAAGTGACCTTTTTTTTTAAAAACAAAAAAAAATACAGAAAAGAAATGGATTTTGTGTTGCAGCATGAATATGAATACAAAACGTGTTAATCTTTAATTATTCGTCTATATTAATTATTTGAGGTGTTGGTTTGTTTTAATATACTACCAAAGATTGCTCTAGTTCCTTTTACAAGAAGCTGCAAGGTAGAGACGAACATACACTCCACTGAGCGTGACTTCATTGTTGAGAGGTTTTTGTTTGGCAACTGCTCAAGTTGCGCTGATTCCCACATATTTAGTTTATCAAGAGGCAGACATTAAAATCAAATACATTTAAAAATAAGACTTGCACATTTGTGACTTTTTTTTTACAACTTTGTCTGTATTTATGTATTAAAACTGTGCAGTTAATGAGCATTATGAATTAAACAGATTTTCTCAAATCCAACTGTCTTGCTTCTGTAATTGCTTTCTGAGACTCCGCAATGAGTGGGGTTCCCCTTTTTCCAGGGCAGGGGTAGAGGGGGGCCTCGGGACAGCAGCTGCCCGTGAAGTGCTACCCGATAGCTGCAGGTGTGATGGGTGCGGACGGCCTCCAGGCCCACGTGATGGAGTCAACCAGTGATTTCGGAGAAGCAAGGGGTAGAAAACTTTGAGAAAAACATTTTTAACAGTTTGATGAGCAAGATTTCTCACTTGAAATACTTTCCCATCGTTGGAGGAAATGTGACTGGAATGCTAATGGAGAATTAATCGCATACCTCACCCTTCGCTTGCTTTCACTTTTGGAAACAAGCCAGAGCCTCTCACCTCTCCTCCAGGTTCTTTTTGAGCATGGATGTTGACTTCAGCAGAGTTGGCTGAAGTGGCCAATCTGGTGATGTCACTGGAACTTGTTAATTTGAGATACTACTTTATTCATCCTATTGAAGAAAATTATTTTGATGGTTTGATGCTCGAACATCAGATAGTGATTGAGAGAGACTTCATCCTAGCCATAGGACAGGGTAGCTGCATGTTGACCACCACAGTCCACATTACAAACTGTTGTCAGTTTTTGATTGTTCTAAATCCCTAGTTTATAAAATTAGGGATTTTTTTTCTGTATGGTTTCATTCTGATTATAATTGTTATTATTACTTAGAGTCTGGGTTGACGGATATCTTCTGACTAAAATTCAGCCCAAAACTGGTCTGGAATCAAAATGAGTAATGTAAGTTTACAGGAACATGACAAATTGCATATTGGAATTTTGCAACCATTAATTTAAAGACTTTGCAGAATTTTTGAACTGTCCTTTCATCCCTGCTGATCTCCATAGCACAGGTGTATTTATACCAAATTATGTTGAACAGTTACATTTTTTTAGTTGTTTAAATATTTATTATTTTCACCTGGAGATCTGCTTTATTGAACTTCATTAAATGAACCCCCCACTACTTCAAAATCATCGAAATTGTTTAAATGGATGTCAAAGAAGAGCCTACAACTTCCTATCAAAATGAATTTCTGCTGGCATTTCAACATCGAAGTCAAACATTTAACTTCCATGGTGACAGACAACAAAGAAACCCCAGATTGCTGCATTAGCCGAATTACAGAAATCTGCTTCCCTCTTGGGGTGGCAACGAGCCCTGGCTGATACCTGCCCACACCGGGCCAGCGCCCTTGGGCTTTATCTGGTGCCTGCTGGTGTGGCAGGTCATGCTGAAGCCTTTTGTGTAGCTGGAGCACTTGTCTCCTTTCTTTAGGATGTTTTTATGAATTTTGTAGGAGCTTCATGTTTTTGATACGCCTGTCCTGCCACTCAGGTGGAGTTACCATTGCACGGGGCTTGTCCTCTGTCCCGGGAAGCCAGGTGAGATGTGATGTAGGGGAGAGATTTTGGCTTTAAAAATGTTTGTAGTGCCTTCTAAAAGGCGCTTACAGCATCTTCCTGGGAAAAGCTTTGGTGCTGCGTGGTGTTAAGTGGAGGAGGGTGGTGAGCTGGCTGAAGAAGAGATGTGAGCCTCTTCCACGGACCCAAGCGTGGACTGTGCCGTGGGAGGGAGGGATGCAGAGGGAGCATCAGCCCCAGGGGAAGAGGAGATGCTGGCTGGGTGGCGGCGGCTGAAGCTGCCCGGACAAATGAAGTCAGGAGGGACAGCTGAGAAACGGGAAGAGGAGTGAAGAGCTTTTTACTTCTGAGTATGACACTTCTTGTGCTGGTTTGTGCCTTCCCAGGGTTGAAGACAGCCGCTGGCAGCAGGCAGGGGCTGAGCTCTGATCGTTCCCCCTGGCTTCAGGGGCATCTCTAATAGCTCTCTGTGGCTCCCCAGGCTATAACACAACTGCTGCTGAAGGGATTAGTTGGGAATTTCACTTAACAGGGATGAAGGGCTGCCTTCTGGGGCTGGCTAATTAATGGGATTCCACTCTGGTAATTAAATAGCAGTTTGCTGAACACAACTTAGTTGATGAAATCTTTGGAAAACATAACAATTAGCAGGCAAGGAATGGCAACTTTGCCTCCAAAGCCTATGCCCAACCTGTTGCTGATATGATTTTAACCTTTCATTCTCCAGCAAAGATGGTATTGACTCTTATTTGGTTTTGCTGCTGTCCTTGGACAGACGGTTCCCTCTCTGTTGCAGCAGTCGGTTCCTCTGGGGTTCATGTCAACAGTGGGGGCTTGAGATGTCCCACTTCACTTGTTGCCTTTTTTTTGAAGGCTCTCTGGCGCTGCCTTCTTAAAAGCCAACGCTGGAGGCCAGGAGTGTTTGCCACCCCCAGAATAAATCCTTTGCCCTCCTGCTACTGCAGTGGCACAGTTGCCACTGGCTCAGCCGTGTGTGCCTTTGCACGACTCCGTCATGCCTCCTCTGCGGGGAGGAGGGTTTCCACCATGGTTACTCCATGCTCAGCAGCATCTCCCTCCCCTCTGAGCTATGTCTGGTGGAGAGATCGCACAAAGCACATGGGGTTTCCTCACCAGGCACTCGGACTGAAATGAACTGCAACTGCATATTAAGACTTCTCCCTGCTGGGGTTGCTCACTTTGTACTGTTGTTTGTGGCTGGGTTGGGGGGTTTTTTTTTTTTTTTTTTTTTTTAACTGCCTTTGCAAAGTGATCCTGGAAATGAGAGGCATACCAGAATGAATTAATTTGGTGTATGGCTTATTTGCACCCTGGAGCTGCTCGTGGAGTTTTGTTTTGGAGAGCAGTGTTGAAAAAGAGCAGGGGGGGAGCAGGAGCAAGTAGAGGAGAAGATGCTTTTACGTCGTGTGATGTGCCTTAGCGATGCTGCTCGATTGCCGCAGAGGAGCGCATCAAAGTGTCTTCGATTTAAAGCCATTTCATGCTACGGGCTTTGCTCGGTCTCCTGTGTGCTTTTATTTTAGCGTCGCAGGTTCAGGACAGGTTGGCACACTCTCCTCGGTAATAATTAACTAACTTAATACTTCAGAGCGAGGAACACAAAAGCTCTGCGGGTCAGAAGGGGCTCAGTCAATGCTCTGCCTTTGCCTGTTGATGGGGCTACAAAAGAAATCACTTTTTATATTCTTTCTATGGCAGGACTGACCAGAGGGGATGAAGCTTAAGAGTTGTCTTAAAACACAAACGTGACTGTGAGAGGAAAATTACTGATCCTGAGCACTTTATATAAACCCTCTCGTTGGCACCCGCACGTGGAAGAGAGGTGCTTTCTGCTGGAAACCGTTCATGTCTTCATCTCTCTACATCGCCCGCTCTTGTATTGATCCTCTTAGGACAACGATGAGGAGGAAATTAGATTAGACAAACAGTGGGAGATCCCACGGCTTGCTATAAAAGCCACCTCCGATCTTCGCTACACTTTGACAGCTCTCAATTTCCTAATTTGACAAGTTAATGAAGACTGGGTTATTTCCGAAGCCATATGTACCGCACTGCCGGGGAAGGGGGGCTGTGAACTGCACCGGGACTACTCACCCCACCACCTTCCAGCCACCCACCCACCCTGCAAAATCCTCATCCCTGGGAGGGAGGCAGTGTGTGCCGGAGCCTGGGGTCCGGACCCAGCG